AGGAAATCTCTGCCTCTTGCCTTCATGAACCTCCAATTCTCTTCAGTAATTTGGTCTGGTAAAGTGATGGCAGGTCGTAGCTGTCAAGGGGAAAATGATTGCTTGGTTTATAAGGGCATAAGCTTTTAAAAGTGTTTTAATAGCAGGAGAAAGATTTTGAAATGGTCTCTGTATTAAAGGGCAAATGAACATATGAGGTTGATAGTAGCTTGTGGTATTAAACAGATAGGCTGCTTCATCTTGTGCGAGTTGAAATTCTATTTCAGTCCAGCAGACTTAGTTAAAAGGTGAAATAAACAGGCTGGATAATCACAAAGGTTTGGATCTTCATTCTCTGAGACATCCACGTTAGTGACAAACCCTTTGTTGACTCTCAGAAGCTTGACACAGAGTATAGCAAGGCATGCAGCTTTTGAACAGGGTAATCTGGGTTTGCTGCACCCTTATGACAAATCTGTCATACACCTGACATGGACTCTAACAGCACTGACAATCTAATAAATCACTCATGGGTAATGCATGCTGAAAGCTGCTCCAGGGGAAAAAAAAGAAAGGAAAAAGGCAGGGACATGAGAGCAAATCAGGAGCAGGTTCCTTTCTTCCCATGGCTGTAAGGCAAACTGATTAAAAGTCTCTGCATCCTCTTAGTAAACTCATTGCAAGATATTCCCATCTTCCTGGTACAGCACAAGTGGCAGCAAGCTGTGTGTCTAGATTGAAATTATTCCTAAACAAAGGGAAAAGAAATGTAGCCAGGTGGCAAAGAAGTAGTCTGGAATATTGGCTGATTCCACCCAAAACACTGTCATGACAGAAGAATAACATTTCAAGAGCAAAGTTAGGACAAAAGAATTTTGACAAAATTATGATCATCAGGATAAAAGTTCTTTCTGGTTCAGACTGGGAGTTTGTCAAGCTAGGTTTTTTTCCTTGGAGTCACTTTCCAGTTTTTAATAGAGAGGCTTCTCCAAGGCAGGTTAGCTGCAGAGTTTGGGAAGTTGTGGAGTTACCTGTCACACTGGAAAGTAATAACAGAACTGGGTCTGACACAGAGAAGGGAGAGAGGATGTAATTCCTTGAACTCTGAAGAGGTCAACTAAGAAGTCAGTTTGGAACTGAGTTGCCTGGGACTCAGGCAGAGGCAGAAAGAAAGGCAATTTGTGTCTTTAGGAGCAAAGACAGAGCACATCCTCTTGGCTGGAGGGAAGGCAGGCTGTTCTGGGGGAGCCAGCTTCACCTCTGCAGGAGCTCCTGCACCTCTGCTGACAGTGCAGGGCCTGGAGCTTTTCTAAAAGAACTGCAGAAAGCACCTGTGTGCTCCTCTTCCTGGGAGAAACTGGCTGAAACCCCCCAAACCCAGCAGAAATAGATGGGCACCAACATAGAGGACAGAGGAATGTCTGTGTCCTGAAACCCTTCCTGTCCTGCCTCTGAGCTCCTGCTCTCAACCACAGTGCCAACTTCTTCTGAATAAAGATCATTAATATTGGATGTGGCAGCTCCTACCTAGAGCTCCTGAGCATGAATTAGTTTGCCCAAGTATAAACAGTAATCTTAGAGGTACATATTGTTATGCATATTTTGTATATTCTGGCAAGTCCTGCTTCTTCCCCAAATGATATTAATGTTAAAAAATTAATTGAGCATAAAGATGTAGTATAAGGTCTACAGAGCATATCATTAGCTACAGCTTTTGTAGTTAAATAATTAAAAAGGAAAATATTTCTGTGCATAATTCCATGTTCCTTTATTTATGTATATGCAAAGCCTTTGTCATCTGGGATGTGGTATATGACTTGACAGATCCTCTCAAACTGTCATCAGCTTGAAATGTGCCCCAAAATTTCCTCATTTCCACTCATCCCAGCTGTTGTGTCAGTGATCCATGGGGAACAGGGTTTTCTGGCAGGAAGGCTGAAGAGGTCAGATCATGCTCCTCTCCCTGGGAGTGGTCTCCCTCAGCTGGAATTAGTGGCTTCTACTCTTGTAATTATTTGTGGATAAATCAAGGAATGAGATCTGCAGGCACCCAAAAGAGGGACATTTGTGATGCAAAACTGCTTATTTTAAAAAGAGTGATGGTGTTGTATTTAACTATTCTACAGGGGGGAACGTGCACTTCTTTGAACTTAAATGACACTTCATAACATGAGAGAAAAAAAACCCTTTTAAAACTAAATGGTATTTTCCCTTATGGAATTTTGAATAACATGGCTATTTTTTCCATTAAAAGTTTTTTTTTTTTTTTTTTNTTTGTGGGGCTTTTTTAAATTTTTTTTTTAATGTTTTTTTTGCTTTGAAGCAATTTCTACTTTGAGCTGAGGTTTTGAGGTGATGTCCTCTGGTGATGCACTTATGTGCAAACATACCTAAGTTCAATGGAGCTTGTAACCTGTTCCATCTTTTTGGCAAAGGTTCATAGTGGCAAAAAACCCCCTACTTTATACATTTCTCAGCCTCCTGCTTTCTAGGAAGAAAAAGGGTAGGAGGCACTTTTTGGATTGAAAACACCATAAATCCTAGAAAATCCTAAAAGGATAGAGGCAGTGATTAATGTTTAAACATCCACATGAATGAATATTATAAGCCATGGGTGAGTTAAATCTGACAATTACTGTGCTCTCATAAAGATTTATATTAAGCAAAAATCCCCTCCTGCCTAATGGCTTTGTTTGCTGTTCCCATAAAAAGAGAGCATGATTTATTGTACCCTATTTATTCTGGATTTAATAGGATTTTGAATAAGTATTCAGCAAACAAAGAATATTGGAAATCATAATGACAATTAGAAGTTAGAACTAAGTAACTTCAGGTGACTCTACTGAGCTGGTACAATTTTTTGGTAGAGTGCAGTTACTAAGCCTTCTGTCTTTAAATCCTCACTGTATTTTTGGACATATAACAGAAGCAGTGGCTTATAAAACAAGGTTTAGAAAAATAAGACTTTTTTTTTTCTAAGAAAATGACCCTATTGGGTAGCTTTCAACAAGGTGTAAAACATGTATGAAATTCTAAAGAGTAAATTTTCTCTTATCCAAGAGCCTGTTTAAAACACAATTGGGGAGTAAAGTAGTTGTCACATCTAAGGAGTTTTAGCAAGGCATATTGAATAATCAAGGGAAACAAATTAGTTAAATGCTGAAGTGACAGTGAGAAAAGGAAGAGTGTCAAATTCACCTTTCAGAAAGGAGAGTTACACTGACATGGCCTGTGAGCCAAAGCAAGTGTAGCTCACCCATAATTTGGTATCAGGTACTGGAGCTCGAGAGTTGCAATTTATTAGCAATTGTTCCTCTTTTCTAACCACACATGAACAATCCTCAGTGACCCAAACCATTTCTGAATTGTCTAAAAATAGAGGGGGGTGAAAGTTGTCTCAAATAGTCCCTTCTAGAAAACAGTGAGAGACTGCAAGGCAGGGAAAGCTGTTTTAGATTTTCAAATCCAGTCTTGGCAGGCAGTTTTGATCATTAGCATTGTCTCTGGTAGGCAGGGAGGCAAAGTAATAGAAATCTTTTTTATCGATTGAGACTGTACTTGAAGAAAGGTGTAATTGCCACCCTAAATTTAATCTTGTAGATACATATCGGGTGCCAATGTTCTCTTCTAGCATTAATGTCTTCCAGGAACTGCTAAAAAACATCATATTAACATTGCTGATTGTGGTCTAGATCAGTGTGTATTAGGAAAATATAAGAAGGATTTTTGAAGTCTGGTCCTTTATCTAAGTGTTTGTAGGAAATGTTCAAGGAGCGTCGAGCTTAATTTGCTTTTTTAATCTTTTGCATTTGGGATACTGTTTACACTGGAGCAGCTGGTAACATAAAATGAAACTAAAGTAAAGAATAGAAAATCATCTCTTGGAGAACAGAATAGATAGATTTTAAAGCAATTTGCTGTATTATTTAAATGTGGGGGGAAAATGTTACTCTTAGAAGCAGGGCAGAAGGAAGGATGAGTGTTTCAGTGAATTTTAGTAGCTACAGTTTTTCTAAGGTTTTTAAAAAAGTACTTAATTTGAAATGTTCCGGCATGTCACAGTCAGGCTTTTTTATTCTTAAAAATTGGCAGCAAGAGTCAGATCAAATATTGCACCTAGTTACCCTTGCAGTCCTTGAAGGTTCAATCAAAAAATCCTTGCTTGTATCATTGTTCCCCTAAATTTCTTCAGGAAGAGTAAGGGAATATTAAAACTCTTGTATTCCTCACTCAAGGCATCCAAGATTTCAGTCTGTATTTGCCCTGAATCTTCCAGTAGGACAAACAAAAGGAGAGGGTGGATACTCAAGAGGTTTAGGATTTATCTTACTGAACCTGAGTTGTCCAAAGTGATGGTTTAGGACTCTTTTTTTTTTTTATTTTATCATCAATTGAACTTATAATTTTTGTTTTTATTCCCTTCTTCATACTCCTTTCTCCTCTCTCCCATTTTTTCCACAGCAGTACCTCTGCTTGTGATGAAACATGGCCAGTGATAGATGAGACAATGGTAGGTTTCTGTAAATCTGAATTTTGTAGATTAAGCTGCAAATTTCTGAGCCCACCTAGATTTTCCAGTATTTTACCAAATGTATGATTAAAAGGATGGTTTTCTAAAATGCTTCCAGGGATTTAGACTATTTGGCTACTGGGGCTTTGTGTGTCCTTAGCACATCAATGGTTGACTGACCCAGGAAAAGCCTTTCTTTCCCCAGGTGTTGCAGTGATGTCTCCCCAGATAAATTAAGCACTAATACATCAAAAACTCGGAAAATGAAAGTGTTTGGCTTTAGCAGTTACTCAGCAGAAAGGCAATGAGTTTGTGTTAGGTAAACATAATTGAGGTATTATCACTGGTAGTCACTGAAATATCTCAGTAAAAGCAGAATCTAATTAATTCATTTTTCTCTGGATTGTGGATAAACATTCATGTGTATTAAAAAAATCCAAAAAAAGGAGGGAATTCATCTGTGCCATCAAATTTTAATGAAAGCAGAATAACATGGCACTAAATTTTTATTGCAAAATGGTCTGTACCCTTGTAAAATCTTGTCTGGAGCAGTTGTGATGGTGTCACTGCAGCCACAGATCATAAATTTGAGTCTTGCCATGGACAGATTTGAAAATAAATGTTGCTTTATTGACATAAAAGAAAGATTTTGGCTTTTTTCTTCATTCTTCTGTATGATTATGTAAGGATAAAAGGGAGAGAGCTAGCAATTTCTTCACACTGCATCTTCCCAAATGAAAAACGTGCTCAGTCAGATTATCAATACCCAAATGATTGTCTTCATTGTCCTGCTGCTCTCTTCATCCTATTGAGAGCTGCAAAAAAGAAATGAGGATTCAGCTGCTTATGGGACAACAGAAGAAACAGCCTCAAGCGTGGGGCGTCACGTAAGAAATATTACATGCAAGCGCTCAAATGATTTATTGTAGTATATTCTTTGGAATTTATGTAATCTGGCAAAACCACGATCCTCCCTTCTTTTTTTTTTTTTTTTTTCCTCCCTACACTTTTCACTTAGCTAACCAAAGGTTTTATTAACCTGGGAATGAAGAACATGTTTTTGAAAGGGCTTAAGCAGAGGAATGATGAATGGAGCTGGTCCCAAAGCGTGCAGGTAAAGTGCTGTCAGGAGCTGAGGCTGGTTTCTGCTCCATCGCCCCAACAGGAAAATAGCAATATTGCTGCAATGATTCCGCTTAGGCTCTATTATTTGCGGTGCTGCTTGACAGTTATGGAGTTGGAATTCAATTTCTTTCATCTAAAGCAGGTGCACCTTTTTAAAAAAAAAAATAAAAAATCACTCTGCCACTTCTGTATAAGGCATGGAGATGGTTGACTTCCTGCCTGAAAGCGTTTCAGGGCACTTATCCCATTTTCGTACAGCAGAAGTTGTCCATGAATATCATCCCATTTTAAATACACGAGCAAGTTTGCTTTATTCCAAAGCAAGATAATAGATGATATGAAAAGCTTTATTTTATGCTAGCCTATACATTTAAGAACCTGTTTTAAAGGGCATTTATATAGAAATCTCTATTACAAAGCACATAAAGAGGTTGATGTTATTTTATTATTCAGGACAAGAAGAAAGGTGTTTCTTAATCTTGATATATCTGTATTTGATATGACAGGTTAACCTTGATATTAGCATCATGTATCCAAATTTTTCTTCCCAGTTTGACTCTAAAATACCCTTTCTTACTTTTGGATATTTGTGAATAGTACCTGGCACATTTATTTTATATTAAAAGACTCATACAAGTGCCTACTGGGATTTAGACAGGTTTAGTTAAAATTAGGATTTGAGAGGAAAAAAAGGATGTGATATCTGGAAGAGAGATATATGTTTATTGCAGTGAAATAAAAATTTATGTGCATGTCTGTATCATATTGCATATTTCCATGTATGTATATACACATTTATACTGAAGTGTCTGTCTGAATTTTAGGTGTGTAATTTTATCTATGTGTATAAAAATATATGTATATATATTCACAAATAGTCTGACCAGCAGATATGTGCAGCTCAGTACTGCTTGTATTTGACTTTCCTTTCTACTCTCCTATTACTTCAATTTACCTGTCAAATAATTTCCAAAGACACAAGCTGTATTTTCAGAAAACTCCACAGATGGCTGACCTGTACATTGACTGATGCTGAATGCAGCTTGGATAACTTGAGCACCCTTGATCTGTGGTTTTATGTCTCTTAATGTATAAATGAACTAAGTAATAGTGATGTGAAGGTCACTAGCTGTAGCAAAGGATTGCCTTAATATGAGAAATAGTTTATTAAAGGCACTGTGTATTTTCAGGCTGTACTGAAATCAATAGTGTGTTTAATCTTTGGGAGGTGCTCACTGGGTTCATTCCTGGGGAATAGATGGCCAGTTACTGCTCCATTCACTGGTAAATTCCAGAGTTAAAAATAACTTCTGTGAGATTTACCTTTTCTTAATTATTGTTTTCTGCAACAGGTTATAGTTCTCAGTACTTTTCTGCCTTAGAATAAATATTCAAGAGACAGACAAGTTTAGCACATTAATATTTAAACTCTTACTGGGGAAATACACCATCACGATAGCTTGTAATGTACCATTTGTATCAAACTAGATAACATTGTTTAGCTTAAATTAATTCTGTTGGCTTAATTAATGCTATTACTTTAATCCATTTAGGAAGGTAAAAGCAACAAGGAAAGTGTGATGGTATCAGTTAGGACAACAGATACAATATCAATTTCAACTCCCCACAAAATCCCCTGTTGTACAAATGATGCAGAGATTGTCTAAGTCTCTTTTAGGACTAATGCCAAAGTTTTTAACTTCCCGTGGAAATGAGGTTTGTTTAGTCTGTTTTGTTTGGGTCACCCCTTGCAGTCCTGAACAAATGTGCTCTAATGGCAGGTTTGAATGTAAAAGTCAGCACGAGCATTTGTCTTCATGTCTGCCATGGAACTTGCTAAATTATCTGGATCTCTCAGAGTCAATACAAATTAAAAATACACACAAGGTTTCTAAGAGAGTGATTGCTATTCTAGCAAGTTCATTAGCCTTCTGAGGAATGCTGTTGGCAGGCTTTGTTTAGCAGAAGTCCAAAACAAAGTAAACCAAAAATGTCACAAAATGAATTGCAAATCAATTGGCAATATAAATGTGAGAAATAGGATGTAGATGAAGAATAATTTAGGGAAATGTATATTGTTCCTCCAGGAATCTTAACTACACAAATGGGAACAATGCTAAAGATTACAGTCGAGAACGGGGAATAACTTGATTAAACAAATATGGGCCATCCAGTTTTTCCAAATATACTGGCAAAATCAGACCCCAGGCACTATTTACTTTGTGGGAAAAAAAAAAAAAAAGAGTTCTTCTGTGAGGCCTTCTGATTTTTTTCCCCAGCTCTCTGCTTTTATTTGCATCAGGCAATTTGACTGGATTTGTGACATTTTCAGTATTTCCACAGGAAATGTTTCTTGCCCAACAGATGCTTGGTGCAAAGAAAATAAAAATAAAGAACAAGGAGGATGAAACTAGTTGATCTTTAAGGTCCCTTCCAAGCTTAACCATTCTGTGAGTCCATGATTCTATTTCCTTAGTGTTTTCAGTCTGTACTCTGCAAAAAAGATGTTGAAAATGAATGTTTCACTGTAATTTTAAGAGAATAAGTTGAAGACCAAAAATTAAGTTTAAAAGGAAATCAGTGTCCTGGATAAGAAGCAATTACCTTGCATTCTTTTACCCAGATAAATTCAGGTGCAGTCACCTGGAGCATCCCTTGCCAGCTGCTGCTGAAGGGAGTGAAGAGGCTGCTCCTCTTCAATTTAATCCATTTTTTTTTGAGAAATTTTACATATCACTGCTGCTGTATTGTTCCCATTATTCAAACATGCATAACAGAAACAGAGCACGGCCTGAGTTCTAACTCCCATGGCAAAATGCAGTGGTAAATCCAGCAGGGAGGAGAGAAGGTTGCAGGTGACACAGGCAAGGCTGATGTGCTCAGTGCCTCTTCACAGAAAGGTTAAACATGACAAAAGGTTTGACATGATCAAAATTAGCAAGGGAACATGAATGCAAGGGAGAATATGGAAATAAATGAGTCTTTAGATTCAGAAAAGTCAGATTTAAGGTCTGTTTACAAGGTTAAATGGCTGGGCAAAAGCTGGGATTTGCATTTATGGCACGCTGTTGGCTGTGCACTAACTCCTCATATGGAACATCTCAGCAAATAAGAGGGTCTTTACATGAAGCAGCTTTTCCAGGTCAAGAGATCTTCTGAGTTACCCCATCATATTTAAAGATGCAGTTTCTAAACCAGCAGTGATTTGCTTTGAGAACTCCCAAAGGGTATAAATAGTCCCAATAGGCACAGTACATGTCTTTAGATGAGGAAAAAAGAAATAAAAAAGCAAGGGAATGACAGCCAAAGATTCAGGCTAAGTTGGTATCTGGGGAGATGCTAACATAAATTTTTAAACAAACAATTTATAAGCTCCTCAAGCCTAGTGAGGGAGGAAGTCACTCTGCCCACAAGAACAGATGTTTTTCACTTTAGGGAGACTTCTGATATGACTCAGTCATAACAGTAAGTATGATTCATAATAAATCAGTCAGGAGCAAGGTCTGTTTGAGAAAATATTATCAAGGAATAATTTTATCAGTAGTCTGTAGGTCCTGATTTTTCTGCTATTCACCACTGTCTCAAGAAATGAGATGCCACATTCTTGAACAATGTCACACTCAGAGGCAGTGCAAGTAGGCTTAGAATTAAAAATCTTATTGATAAATGAGTGAAACAGCTTGAAATCCATAAGACAAAATTAAGAGGATAAAGTTGGTGCTTTCAGAGGAAAAGTCAACCATACCAATGCCAAATGGGAAGGGAAATAAGTGATATGGTGTCAGGGTTGTGGGAAAGACAGGACTTGTACAGGACTGTGGCAGAAAAACGTAAATCTCTTTGTTTAAATGTACTAATCAGAGACAAGAGCCATTGGGGAGGCAGTTTCTGGGGGCTGGACTCAGCCACAGCACAGCAGGGAGGACATGGGGAAATTGAAGTTTGGACAGAGGGTTTGCAGGGTTGGCTTGGCTCAGGAAAATGGGATAAAATCAGGCAGCAGACTCAAGTTTCCTTCAGACATGGAAATGCTGCCACTGAGAGACCTGAGCTAACTTTTCCCTGTGCTCACCAAGGTGGCACCAAGAAGTTTCAATTTTATTCACAGCAGACTTTATGTTCAGTGATAGGGAAAGTCAACACTGTGCTCTAATAATGTAGTTAAATACTTGAACAATGACTCTGATAAACTGTGAGGTTTCCATGACTGACAGGCTTGGAGAAATTGATTAAAGCTTATACAGATTGCACCCAATCCAGTCTGATAAATGAACTTTTGGTAGGCTTATCATCCCAAGTTTTTTACAGAAATGTGGGTATGTGTACAATTTACAATAATCATGCTAGAAAGTTAGCTTTTCATTTCCATATCTCTCACAGTTTTGACTTTTTGGAGGAGTAGCTCATTTGCTTTCATATAATATAAGCCATTTAATTTATATTAGATACAATGAAATCCATAATTTTAATTACTAACTGAATTTAGCTTTCAGCAAGGCTCACAGATTGAAGGAAACCTGTTAAGTTCATTTTATCATTTTATTCAGAACGTTTCCTTCTTCACATCAGAGCAATACATGTCCCTATCAGAGCAGCCAATCAGGATTTCTGCAGAATAGGCTCTGAAACTGAAGAGTGCTTCAAACAGTCTTAAAAACGGTGAGAATTATGAGATCATTGCTAGAGAGAC